CTTCTGTAACCTGAGGCATGCCATCAACCTTTGAAATGCAGGACCGGTAGCTATTTGCCAAACTCCTGCTGCTGGCATCTTTGTATTGTAATTAGCTGGGACCACAGGATGAAGAAACCAGATGCTGCCTTTTAAAATAGTGACTCTGATGTCTGCTTCTCTCTGGAGACGTGTGAGCAGATGGTTGGTAGTTGGAGAAAGGTGAGTTATAAAAACTGCAGTCTATCAAAAATATTCTACATCTGCCAATGGTGGTTATGTCTTTTCATGCATATGGAGAAAGAGAAGCATGAAATTAGTAATAATGACAAATCATCAACACAAAATATTACCATTCCTGCAGAAGACAAAAGATTAGCCTATTCAAGGACTAACAGGGAGGGGTAAGGATGGGCAGAAATAGAAGCTAAAGCAGCAGATCTTATGTTGAAACATTTTAACCGGTCAAAATATTTAGAGGTCTGAGAAGTGTGTTTGGAGATCCATCTGATCTGTGTATAATCTCTCTGCCAGAATGGCAGTCAGCTGGGATGAAGTCCTATCCTCTGATAATTGCTATGGCAAAGATCTGGCCACTATAAATGAGCAAAGTTGTGAGCTAAATAATTTTCCAGTGCCAGCTATTTATAGACCAATGTTCAGACTAACCCACAGTATTTAATGAATATGGGGAACTTGTGACATGATATTTTCCACAACCTAAGGCCAAGAAAGCCAATTAATGTTTTTACTGGCATTGGAATGAAATGCACCTTTTAGGGCTACACAAATATATAAAATGGAATAAACATATGTTCCACCATTTTTGGGGGAATGCAAAAATATTCAATTTCTATCAGGTTTAATTCAGAGACAAGACTTCTAAAGTAATTTGTTATAATCTAAACACTAGATTGTAATTTGAAATTAGATTTGCTGTCTTTTGGTAAGACTCATACCATACTCAGACACATGCTGTCTGCTCTAACACAAACGCCATTGAGAAGCTAATATTAGCTTAGTTTACCATACCATAGCTAGTTAGTAGCTAGCTAAAGGATTATTTTCTTATGTTATAAAATGAAGTTGCCATGTAATACAGGTTCCTCTTCCCACTTGTTACAATGCAGCCTGTTATACTATACTAACACCAAGAGTGCAATAGACAAGCATGCAGAAATTGCAGTAAGTTGCAGTTAATAAGCTGTAGTACCACCAAGGGGAGATTTTATTTCAAGCCATCATCAAAATAATCACAGGAAATCATTTAAAGAGACATTACTTACACATTTACATGTAAGTACAAATTAGCCACCTAGCTTAATTGTTGTAGGATAGAAGGACCCAGGAATGTACTTGCTTGGTCACTCGGACTTCTTGGCTTTAAACATACTATTTCCCCCTCCAGATATTGCAATTTCTGGATGTACTGCAGTTTCTGCATTTCATGCTTTGCCATGATATTGGGTTGGTTGTTTACATGCTAAAAATAGGTCATTTTAGTCTGGTGTTAGGTGGCTGCCAGACATGTGTAATTCAGCCTTTGTGGATATAAATTATATGCTACTGTCAATAGATTAAAATGATAGTGTTCATAAGGTGTTAAAAACTAAAACCAGGTCATATTAGCCTATTCCTAGGTGGTTGCTAGGCAACATGGTGGCATCAGAAAATATTAGGCATAATTCAGTGTGCGTGATTATAAATAGGATGTTCTTGTCATGAAATAAAAATCATACAATGTGGTTAGTCTTATAGTTTACAAATTATAAAGAGGGGTAATTTTAGCTTGTTGCTCTGGTTGCTAGGCAACATGATGACTCCACATTATCCTATATAGATAAGAACCTTCAGGCATTGAATAGATACCTGATGGTCTAGGAGGTGTATTATTTTATTTTATTTTATTTTTGTGTATTACTATAATATGTTTATTAGTAGTAGTAGTAGTAGTAACTGTCACGACAAAAGAATTTTCACTAGAGCTGGAATAAATAAAGCATATCTTATATTTTAGATGTGTTGCTTTGATTCAGATACATTACTGCTGTTATTTATTTTCCATAATGTTTACAGTTGGAAACTGTCACCACATTAACTTACACATCAGAATAAACATAGTGATATTGCATTCAGTAAATGGATGTGTATACACACACACACACACACACACACACACACACACACACACACACACACACACACACACACACACACACACA